ATGCGGTCTACGCAAGTAAAGAAAGGATTACAAACATGCGGTCTACGCAGATAATGTAATGCAGCATGATTGAAACAATTTGCGGAGTTCACATAGCATGAGAAGGATACGGGGCGGGACATTCTTCGCACGCGTCAAGCATTGCTCGCAGAAGTTGCGGCCTGAGGTCAACTCGAAGGTTCACGTTTCAAAGGCGTGCTTTCCCATATTGTGAAGGCGTCCAACGACGTGGTTGTCTCGAACAAAGGTGCGGAAGGTGCGTTAACCGTAAAGGGGGGTTTCATTGGTACCAATTCTGATACCTTGCTACCCTGTCATTCTAATGAAAATATAAGCCTTTTTCATGTTATACACAAGAGCTAAAACAGCAAGCAAGATAGGTAGAAAACTATTGCAAGTTTGGGGAATAAAAAGCAAGATGCTCACCCTTGAAGAACCCTTGAAGAACAAATGGTGTAGCCCTCTTCTTTTGATCAAAACCAGTCCAAGAACTCAAGAAACAACCCTCCAAGTCCCTCAATCTCGGAATAAGGTGTAATAGTGTGTGTAATGGTGCAAAAATAAGGTAAAAACCACCTTTAGGCCAAGGAAACACACACAAAGGAGGGGAGAGAGGGAGATATAGAGATAGAGTGTATCTATATCTCAAAGCTCTGGTTTTTGGTTTCAAAATTCTAACCTAGATCAAAGAGGAAGACCCTCCCTTCAATTGTCAACCTCAGTATACCCAGACTCCCAGACCAAGCCCATGCATTTATGTGAAGTTTTGTTAAGATTTTGGCTTGCACTTTAATTATTTACTTAAGGTTAAAATGTATGTATATACTCCATTTCTTTACCATTGTTCGGATATACGCTCATTTATATGTATGGGTATGTATATAGATAAATGGCTCTCACGTATGTGATCCTGGCATGTTAGTTTTAGCTCAATGGATGTTATTCTATGTTACTTTGTAATATTAAATGCTTCCGTTCAGGTCCCGTATATTATATATATCAGGTTATGTGTCCGTATCTGCATAGGTCATGCCCGAACTTTTAGGGGCGAGTTTGGGGCGTGACAATAATTCACACTAAACAACTTGTATACTTTATATAGGACAAGTGGTGTGAGTGGTGTTCTGAATTTTTGAATAGTTTGATGATTGAGTAAACTGATTAGCCATTTATAGTTTGATGAAGGTACAAAATTATTATAATAGTTATTGGATATGATAGGTACATGATGAAAAATTGGTGGTAATTACTGAGTAAGATTTAGAGAAGAAAGAAACATCTCAAACTGTTTGAATTTAGTGGCAAGGATGTAAATCATAGTGTAACAAAATTATGGAATTTCTTGAAATTTTAATAAACGCAAGATGGGAAATGCAAGGTATGAAAACTCTGTTGTACTTACTCTCTCGATAGTGAGAAAATGCACGGTCTAGAGCTCCATTCAGGGATCCTTCATCAATTCCTTCAAAGACAAACCTTTAAGAAATAATGAAGACATACATTGCATCAGTCAAAAGCTTGAGCCTACAAAACCAAATATTTAGGTGTAGCACTTTCCTCAATCTAAAACTAATGTTTACATTTCAACAGGCACTAACTAGATCACATCACTTTTATTGAACCATGTGGACAATTCAAGCTCTTAATTTAATCAATCTATTAACATCATTCGGTTTTCAAATGCTCTACTGATCCTCATCGTGAAATGCCCATGTATAGTCAAGTTAGATAACCAACCAAAGAAATAATCATAGAATAACAATGATCAATCATTGCTTTAGTAAGAATACAAAATCAAACATTTACCACAATGTTTGGATATGAAAGGTCCTAAGGAAGTCGTCAAGCTGCCTAATGTGAGCCTATTAAGAAAACACAATGCTTCAAAGACAATGTTTCAAGCACAAACTGTAAGAATTAATAATATAAACATCAATAAAGTAATTAAATTGGACAAACCTGCTGTCAATATTATTGAGTAACAAACCTCATAGAAATTAAAGATTATTGAAACAAAAGATATCCAAAAAAATTAGAGTAACAGACCTGCTAGAAATATAGCTAAAAAGGTAGTGCTGAAAAGGTAAAATATATACTCACTATGAAATAGAGGAATGGGAAGAGAGATGATATTGGTAGCGTTGAAAATGTAAAATAGAAAAACTATGTTAGGGCCCGAACATATATGATAGACAAAATCATATGACTAAGCAGTTCCCGTCATCCATCCACGTTCCCACCATAATGGACTAACATAATTGTAAAATTCTCTGAAAGAAACTGAAGTCACTAAAATTAGGCAAATAATGTCAACAAAATGACAAGTCTTAAGTTAACAACTGATATAGATTTTAAATGCCAACCATTAATAAACAGTTAACAATTATACCTTTTGAACAATGTCATCAACATTAATTTTTTGTTTAATACCAACTGGAATTGCCAGGAAGATATGAAAGCTTGAAACATTAACTTGAAAAGTGAAGAAAAGATGCACGATGGCAACAAGTATGAAGTACTGATCTTCTACATAACTAACACCACTTTAAAATGTTACTGTTTATATATTTAAAAAATAATAATAATAATCCTCGTTGTGAATTAAAGTTTGTGACCTGAAGACAAAATACATGATTCTAAGGAAGTTTGTGTATTGATTCCAAAGTATACCAAGATCAAAACCTAACCTTTGACTTTGAACTACTTTTTGACCATAGAGGTTTTAACTCCAAATCTAACCTGGCTTGAATGATGCCACCAGGTAAACTATCTAAAGTAGTAGACGCCACACTAGTATCCTAGATGAAAGGATCAGTAACAACTCAGAATAATGGTAAATATAAGGAACAACATTGACCTAACCCATTGCGTGCATAAAACAACTGAATAAATCCCAAAAACTTGTAAAATCAAGTATCAGATCTAATCAAAAGCAATGGGTGAAGTCATTAAGTGCATGTCTTAGGTAGACAAATACAAGAATAAAAACAGAGTGATTAAGATAATAATAATAATCAAAACATAACTCAAAATATTACCTTCCACGGGTAGAAAGGATTCAACCTTTTGTCTATCTGATGATGAAAAGGTGAAGAAAAAAAATTAGTGGAAGTGAAGTACAAAAAAATAAAAGAAAAGGCCCAACTTCAAAAGTACTCCAATGGAGTGAATATGTATTCATATAAGATCAAGTAACATGAATATCAAACCAATATGTATTCATATAAGTATGCAGATCCAATGGAGCGAATGATCATAAGCTAATCACAATCCTAAGGTTCAATCTAATATCGCAATGAGTTGAAGGAATGTAAACGATCACCATAAGGGTAGCACAGACTAAATGTTATGCATATACCTTGGGACTGGATTTCAGATTTGGAGAGTATAGATTAAGAAAAATGTATGGATATTGTAAATATATAAGCCTTTGGGGCCCTTCCTTTTCTCCTCTATTCTGAAATGTTCATATAGCATGTAGTAAGGTTTAAATCAACTGAGTATTCAACTTTTTAAAAGTCTTGTTAAGGGAAAGAACTGAGTTTTAGATGTATACATAAGGAAAGCCGTGTGCAACAAAAAATACAATCATATGTTAATTAAAAAAAAAATTGTGGGTAATTAAAACATAATTGATTTGATTAAAAATGTAAAGTCATGATTCACATCACCAACTTTACCTTTTCCATATGTTGGATGAGAAGAGAAATTGCTTTCTTAGTGTCCACTGTTTGTTTTTGTTGGAACAAATATTGTCACTGCTGCTGCTGCAAGGCTTGAACTTCAAGAAGTCCATCTCTGCATTGAATTCCCACCCACTATCATTAGTCAAGCTTGAAATGATTGTATATTCTTTATAAAATGTACAACTTTTTGATACACTTTCCCTCTAGATACATATATTTGATATTTTCATATAGGATTCCATTGGTAACACGTATAATTCCAAACTACAAAAAAAAAAAAAAAAAAGACGAAGAAGAAGAAGAAGAAGAAGAAAAGAAGAAGAGAGAGAGAGAGAAAAAGAAGAAGAAGAATAAGAATAAACATTTTAAAAGAGTGAAGTTCTGATTTTAGTATTATTGTTATAACCACTTTTAACTATGAAAAATGTGTCATATTTAAATGATTAAAGTATTAGCACTCATTCTATATCTCATTATTTGTTATTGAGAAATGTTTTAGAGAGACAAAGCCTATTTAAATGATTAAAGCCCAAGTAGTTTGTACCACTGAATGAATTTTGACAATAACTTGATAGAAAGAGTTCCACATATAATTTTCAAAATAATATTACATACATTCTAAGGAGTGATGATAACTAAATCAATCGACATTGTCGTGTAAGTATGTTTTACATATTTAAGTAATGAACTAGTATGACCAATTCTGAAAATGTTATTGAATTGGATTTTATATAAAGACATTCCCAAATATTAATATTTTTACATATTTTCATGTAAGTGAAAATATATACTATTAATAATTGAACGCTCTAGCCACAAATTTGAGAATGATAGTTTCTATTAATTATTGCAAATGTTCCCCATAAATGGTAATAACAGTGTAAGTATCATTGTAAGTAGAAAGGATGTTGGATAGGTCAAAAGATGAAATAAGCTTGATAAGCAGAAAGAATTATAATTTGGAGATTCAAGAAAACCATTTTAAAAAAACAATTTCTTTTCAGCATGTATTTGGAAAGGGAACATAAAATAATACAGAAGGTTACACACCAAACCTAAGCATCAATAATATTTTTTAAAATCAAAAAATTTCACAATGTATTTTTTTCTACCCTCTTTGGAAGGGGTGTTAAAGTTATAGTTGGCATCTATAGTAATCTAATTAATATAAAGGAAAAGGTGAAAAACATAATTGAAAAATATGAATATAAAGGAAAGGGCTGTTTGGTTGCTTGGATAAGGTTGGACTAGAGAATAAAGTAAGATTTAAAGGTTAGATCTTTTATTATCTAGAACTTAATGAAACAGAGAAATTTTTAAAAACTATGGAAATTGTTCAACTAAATATAGAAAGTGTCCACTCTACTGACAAGTCAGATGTTAGATTTTAAACTAAACAACTACTTGGCTTACATGGTGCTCTTTTAATTGGCAATCCCAGCACTAAATTATGTTCCAAAGTTTCTGTTATCTGTCATAGTTTCACATTATTCCATTTTTCTTCCCAACATACTATACATCTAAGTAAGAGTCAACATTATAAATGGTCTTCCATCTGATGTGTTAAATACTTGTACCATTAGCTTTTCAAAATGTGGAGGTATTGAAATTAAAGAGAATTGGGACAAGGTAAGTTAATAAAAAATCTTTTTACTGTATTGACAGATTACTATTTTAGTCTGTCTGACCCCATTGTTTGATTTGACCCATTTTGTGTCATCAAGTAGTTAGCATACTCCACAAGCAGTCCTGTCTCATGGTTTCAAAGTAATTTTAATAATTTTAGACACTCGGTTGCTGTTATAGCATGCACACACATACACACCCCAATTTGTTGCCATGTAGTGTAGATTTTAGGATCCACCCAGCCTGTGTGTCCTTGCCTAGTTGTTTCATGTCCCAAGTTCATGTCTATGTTTCATAAGTCATCACTGATTGGATATAAATTTGGGTTTGAGGCAGAAAACATGTTTATTCAATTTGTCCTTCTTACAGGTCAAAACTATCTCTCTTCTAACTGAAAAACCTATGACATTGGAGGCATGTGCGCCTGAGAAACCTATGACATTGAAAATTGATGAAGAATAATGAATAAGCCTTGTTTTATGCACTCTAGTTTTACAATTCTATACTAGCAAGTCATACTACTGCTAATAGATTTTCAGTGTCAATTCATATTTTTTGCCTAATTGTTGTTCAGAAGATCAAATTAAACCAAGAAAACCAGAGGTTATCATCAAGACCATTAGCTACAGAAAGCTCATTCATGAAGCAAGCTAATTTCAAAGTGCAGAGGAAAGGAAAGAGATAATTCATAGGTACAAAGCAAACCAAACACAGATAAATCTAAATTGACCTAGTTGCACACCAATATATATATATATATATATATAATATCATATACACTAGCAAAAACAGATTATAATAATCAACAAGGTTTAACAAGCCTCAATCGGCACCAAGCTTCATGACATAAACAAATGATAAGGGGATTCAACAAGGGAAATAAGAGGGAATGCTCGATTTGAGTTTGTGTACCTTAAGAATCCCCAGTCAGCGGGACATACAGAGAGGGAGACAGAGAGAGAGAGAGAGAGAGAGAGAGAGACAGAGATACTTGGGGTAATGGATCGACGGTGGTGCTCTTGTGCGCCGACGGCGATGCTTGTTACCCGACGGTAATGGAGACGAACCGACAAAGCTTGAACGGACGACGAGAGTGGAGAAGACGAAGTAGATGACTGGTGAAGATAGGTGAAGAGAATAGGAGAAGAGAGAGAGGGCGGTGAGTGAGGAGGTGGAGGCGGCGTCATCGTGAAGGCGGCGGCAGCGGTGGTTGCCGATGGCGCCACCAGAGGCGACGATGTAGGAGGCGGAAGAGATAAAGAGTGAGAAGAGTGAGAGATAGAGTAAGAGGGAGTGTTAGGTTAGGGTTTAGACCTTGTATAATATATATAAGGTTAGGGTGATTAGGTTAGGCTAGGATTTAGATTTTGTATAAATATATATAATCACTCTTATTTAAAATGTGTGATAAAAAAAATATTATCTCACTCATTAAATTAAGTGTGATTAAAAAATTATTTTAATTTTTTTAATCACACTTTTAATAAAAGTGAGATATTTTTAATTCTTCTTATGGATCTTCAACCACATGTTAATTAGAAGGTGTGATTAAAAAGTATATATATAATCACACTTAATTAAAAGTGACATAAAAAATAAATATTATCACACTTAATCAAATCAAGTGTGATTAAAATATCAATCTAATTTTTTTTTATCACACTTCCAATAAAAGTGAGATATTTTCATTTGTTAAAGTGTGATCTTTAACTCTTTTTGTAGTTGTGGCTCTTTCCCAAACCACAACTTTGACTGACTGTTTGGAAGCCATTGCACCTCTAATGCCTCAACTCTTCGACCCAAACCAAGTGCAGGATTTCCAAACCTTCCTCTCAGAACTTCCACAGCATCTAGTGGCTATCCACCAATTCCATGTTGAGCCAAAAACTGTTGAAACCCAAGTGGATCAAATGAGGAAAGCAGGCTACTACCAGATCACAGGCTCTCATTACTCAAATTGCCCTCCTCACAGCAGAAGAGGCTCAACTGGCACATGTGAGAGCTCAAAAAGCTGCTGTTGAACAAGAACAAGCTAATATTTCCCAACAAATTCCAAACCTTCTTGTTCAAGTAGAAGGTGGCCCACCTGCCATTAAACAAGCTCAAACCAGACTTAGGCAGAATAAAATTAAGCACCAAACTGCCCTTCAAGCCTAGAGTAGGCTCTCGATGTATTTTCAAAAAATTAGGCCAAATGTAATCACCTTGTTTGTAATTTTGACACAATTTTTAATGAAAGATTTATCACATTTATTCTGGCTTTTCCTATCTTGTCACATATGATTTTTTTCATGCTTTTATGACTTAATCATGCATTCCCACATAGTTGGATAGTATTTCTTTAGGTACTTGCCATTAATGACCTTTCTATGTGGCTCTCCTTCTAAAGAGGCAAGATGATAAGCTCCTCATCTAAGGAACATGTGTATTTTAAATGAACCTTCCCAATTTGGGGACCACTTGCCATATTCTAGGCTCTTTAAACCAATTGGTAAAATGGGTTTCCATACTAACTCTCCTTCAGAAAACACTTTACTTTTTACTTTTATTGTTATAACTTCTCTCAACTTTCTTTTTTTGAGCTATCAAGTGATTAAAGGCCATAATCATTCTTTCCTCTAAGTCTTGCAACTCAATCAACATGGCTTCAGTATATTCATCCATAGGGATATCTAAATGTCTAGCCAATCGACTAGATCTGACTGTCACTTCTAAGGGTAATACAATATCATGCCCATAAACCAACTCATATGGGGTTGTGCCTGTACTATTTCTCTTAGAATTTCTATAAGCCCAAAACACTTCTGACAGGAGGTTATGTCAATCCCTAGGATTGTCTTCAATCATCTTTTCTAAAGTGTTCTTAATAATCTTGTTTGTTGCCTCAGCCTGACCATTTGCTTGGGCATAATTGGGTGAGGAATTCAATATCTAAATGCCATATTCTATGATAAACCCTTTAATCTTATCCCCATTGAACACTGTGCCTTAATCGACAGTAATGGATTAGGGTAAACCAAACCTATGGATCACATTTTTTTTTAAGAACTCAAGGACTTTAGTCTGTGCCACCACTTTTAAAGATACTGCTTCTACCCATTTTGTAAAGTAATTAATAGCTACTAGCAAATAAGAATGTGCTTTTGAAGAGGCTGGAAAAATTTGCCCTACTAAGTCCATGGCTCATCCTCTGAAAGGCCAAGGTTTCACCACTGAATGAAGACTTATGGCTAGAACTCTTTGAATATTGCCATGTTTCTGGCAACTTGGACAACCTTTTGCATACATTATGCAATCTTTTCTAATAGATGGCCAAAAATAACCATACTTGTTAATCATCCATCTCATTTTATCACCAGCCTAATGGGCCCCACAAATTCCCTCATGTGCTTCAGCCATGGCTTTTATTTGGTCTACCTTACCAATACAGAGTAAAGTCAAACCATCATGTGCCTTCCTAAATAAGTCATCTCCCATGACAACAAAATTTAGGCCTTGATATCTTATTTGCCTATTACTCCTTTCATTAGGATTTGACAGGTATTTTATTAAAGAGAATCTCCAATCTTCCTCTGTCACATCCAAAATAAGAATTAGCAAAAAAGTTCTACACCTATTCCTAAGCGCATAAAAGTTTCTTTAGTTAATTCGAACCACCCTTTATTGAGCTCGTTTAGGAATTTTTAACCCAAAAGCTGCTTGAGCCATCTTATTGGCTTTTTTATTTTCCAACCTATATCTATGTGTGAATGTGATATGGTCGAAGAAATTCATTAACCATTGAACTTCAGTCAAATACTCCTCTAGAGCACCACTTACACACTTGAACTCACACAAGACTTGTTTAATGACCAACTGTGAATCCCCAAAAACTTGAAGAATTCTAATTTTGAATTCTATAACCAATTATCAAGGCTTCATACTCATCTTGATTACAAGACTGTATATGTTGTTCTTCCAACTGATATGTAAACTGGTACATTTGCCTGTTCGGTGCAATTAGCATAATACATGCTCCAACTCCTCCATCTGTCTTTGAACCATCAAACATCAACTTCCAAGGTTCATTCTCCACCATATTAATCTTATATAAATCTAAATCAACAGATGTACAAGGGTGCTTTGTCAGAAAATCAGCCAAGGCTTGTCCTTTGACTGCTTTTTGTGGCAGATATTTGAGACAATATTCAATTAAAGCTAATATCCATTTACGTTGTCTTCCTCTCAAGATGGGCTTGGACAACATATATTTAATCACATCTATTTTGTGCTACCACATACACCTCTGTAGGTAGCATATAATGCCTCAATTTAATAGCCGCAAAATAAAGTGCCAGACGCAACTTCTCAACAGAGTTATACCTGGTTTCAACATCATTTAAGCTTCTACTTAGGTAATAAATGGCTTGTTCATGGCCCATATCATTTTCTTGAGCCAATAGACAACAAATTGATAGGTTAGAAGCTGAGATGTACAGCTTCAAAGGTTTACCTATCACTAGAGGCATAAGCACTAGAGGGTTTACCAAAGAGCTTTTGAGTAAATCAAAAGCTTCTTGATGGCATGCTTTCCATTTAAACTCATGGTTTGACTTGATTTTTATCAAGGGAGAAAATGCTAAATTTTTCTTAGCCAAATTGGCTAACAATCTCCTCAAAAAAATTATTTTTACAAGAAAACTTTGCAGCTCTTTTTTATTGGTTGGGGGCTTTGCCTCTAAAATTGCTTTAGCCTTATTAACATCCACTTTTATCCCTTTGTGATGTACTAAGAAGCCCAGAAAAATTTTAGCAAATACCCCAAATGCACACTTTAAGGGGTTCGTCTTGAGTTTGTAGGCCTCATTCTTTGAAATGTCTACTGCAAATGTTCAAAATGCTCATCAAAACTGTCAGATTTGATGGCTTCAAATCATGAAAAATGAAATTCATTGCCCTCTGGTAGGTTGCTCCTGCATTCTTTAATCCAAAGGGCATAACTACACATTCAAATGTCCCTAAAGCACCAGGACACCTAAATGTTGTCTTATGTGTATCCTCTGGGTTAATAAAAATCTGATTATACATAGTATGACCATCCATAAAGGACAAAATCTTACTCTTGGCTGCTATCTACTAACAAATCAGCCATTGACATAGGATATTCATCCTTGGGAGTGGCTAGATTCAAGTTTCTAAAGTCTATGCACACTCTCAACTTACCATTTTCCTTCATAACAGGGACAGTATTAGACAGCCACTCAACATACTGTAGACACCCCATTTTTGACCGTCCTCAAGACTTGGACATCATCATTTGAGCACTCGATGATCATCCATGTTCATGTTCGTCTTGAGTTCTCGGAGGTTTCGATCGCGCACCTTGCCTCAAGACCTCTCGACTTGTTTGTTCTGTGCTTGGTTGCGTACCAAACACTTGCGTTTTTGCTTCAGAGGGCAGGGAATGGCTTGTTCACCATTCCCACACCTCACCGGCCTTGGCTTGAGGCCACCGGCCCTATTTTCTTGCTACCGGCCAAATATTTTGGTCGGTCGGCAATGTTTTTGGTCGGCCTGCCATTTTTGTTGGTCAATCGGCCATATTTTCCAGTTGACCCCTTTCCATCTGCTTTTGGCAGATGTTTTATGCCAGCTATCACAGATGGCATCCACAATACATCCCCTCCATACACGTGTATGGAGGGATTTGCTCCCTCATGTTAGCTTCTCCAAGAAGCTTAGGAATTGAATTCCTATAAAAGGAGGGCCTCCCCTTCCTTTTCAGAGGTTGAACAACTCTGAGATATAACTTATATATCTATATCTCTCTATATCTCCCTCTCTCTATATAATTGTGTGTGTAATAGTGTTCTAAAGGGGTTTTTGTTCTTAGTTTTGCACTAAGACACCTAGTGTTACACTATTCTTTGGTTGCTGAGGTTTTAAGGGGTTGATTTCAGAGTTTTGAGTTGGTTTTTGATCAAAAGGAAGTGCTGAGGTTGGTGTTCTTGAAGTGTTCTTCAAGGGTGAGAACTTCC